TCCTTTTTTTTTTACACTGAAATATTTCATAAAGTACCTGAAATAAGAGCTAATGATAATGAAAACGTTCAAGGTTCACTGAAAGTATTGGCAAAAAAAAAAAAAAATAAGGCCTTTGGAATTTGTGAAATACCAATGATATGTTCCAAATAAAAGAAAAAGCCCTGGACATGCTCACCAGTATATGCTAGGCCAGCTGCTTGGCCAACTGACTGAAAGATTATTTGTTCCCATCTGCAAGAAACATGATCCAATAGAATGTGGAAATTATCAAACCATTAATATAGCAAATGCAAGGGGGATATTGATGAAGGACGTTCAAAAACAGCTAAAATAATATATTGACAGAGAACTGCCAGAAGTTCATTGCTGATGTCAGTTGGATCCTGGTTGAAAGAGAATACCTTCTGAAATATTGACTGGAAGCAGAAGAATGTCCGTTTTTATTGACTATGCAAAAGAATTTAACTGTGTGGATCATGACAAATTATGGCAAACTTTTAGAATAATGGGAATCTCAGAATGTTTAATTATGATCATACAAAACCTACATCTAGACCAAGAAGCTGTTGTCCAAATAGAGCAAGGGAACACTGTAAGGTTTAAAATTTTTTTAAAAAAAGGTGCATGTCAGAGTTTCTTTCTTCATATCAATTCAATCTGTATGCTGAGCATATGATTTCAGAAGCTGTACTCGATGAAGAAGAATGTGGCATCAGGATCAGAGGAAGACTTATCAACAACCTGCATTATGCAGATGATATAACTTTTATTGCTGAAAATGAGGACTTGAAACACTTGCAGCCTTCAATATGAATTGCATCTCAACATCAAGAAAACAAAAATCCTCACCCCAGGGCCAATAATCAACATCATGATAGATAAAGATTGAAGTTGTCAACAATTTTATCTTACTTGGATCCGCACTCTTGGTATCAGCAGTCAGGAGATCAAGAGACATGCTGCACTGGGCAAGTCCACTGTCAGGGACCTCTCCAAAGTACTGAGGAGCACTTATTTAATTTGAAGACTGAAGCACATCTGATACAGGCTGTTGTTTTTTCAATCACTTGCTATGCCTCTGAAAACTGGACAGTGAATAAATATGACAAAATAAGAATTGACATCTTCAAATTGTGTTGTTGGAGAAGAGTGCTGAATATCCCGTGGACTGTCAAAAAAAAAAAAAAAAGTACAGCCAGAATGATCCTTGGAAACAGGATGACAAAGCTTCTTTTCACAAAACTTGGACTTGTTGCTAGCCTTGGAAAGGGACATCCTGCTTGGAAAGGTGAAGGGTCAGTAAAGGAGGGGAAGACCTTAAGCAAGATGGATTGGCACAGTGGCTGCAGCAAAGGGCTCAACTCCGTCAGAGCTGATGAGAAGGCATAGGATAGGACAGGGGTTAGATCTGTTAATAGGGTAGGGTTGTCATGAGTTATACTCAACGTGATAACACCAATCTATAATGCTTTAAATTTTATCTACTCTTTTTCTGCTTCCATCTAAATGCAACTTTTCCCCCCCACTTGAGTCATACACAGACATCTAGTGAGGTTCCAAGCCAATTTTCCATTTTTTTCATATTTAGTATAAACTGGTGTCCAAGATTTCCTCCTTAACCCTTGATAATTATTAAAGATGCATGCTAAATCAATATGTTTAAATAGTGAATGGGCATAAATTGATAGGCTGCTAACATGGTATTTTTTTCCTTTTACAAAATAGCATAATTAGGTTAAAGAGGTCTTTTGTTTTTTAAAAATAACTTATCTCTTGATGTGATCAGGAAAAATTCCATTTATTTTATCCATTTTCACCTAAGTTGAAAGACCTCTGATTGAGTGAGAGTGTGTTGTTACAGGAGACAGTGACATTCAAAGATGTGGCTATTGACTTCACCCAGGAGGAGTGGCAGCAGTTGGATCCTGATCAGAGAAACCTGTACTGGAATGTGATGCTAGAAAACTATAATAACTTAATCACACTGGGTAAGGGTAGTTTCCTGCATAAATAAAATGCTGGACTTAAGTACCTTTTCTTTCCCATTATTTCTGAAACTTAGAAGGCATTTAATAGCATAAACTTGGCCTTGGAATGTCAGATCATGTAAATGCATGCTACAACTTTCAAAGCTGTCATTCTTGGCTATGTTGTAGGGGATGGCATTCCTAGAAGCCACACTTGTCTCTTCCTTCAGATAGTCTCTTTCAACATTAGGCCCACTTCAATGCTTTGTTTCTAGTATTTATGCCTAATGTTACTTCCTTCCATCTAACAGGATACCCATTCAGCAAACCAGATGTGATTTTCAAGTTGGAGCAAGAGGAACCACCATGGGTGGTAGAGGAAGAAGTGTTAAGGAGCTGCTGGTGTTCAGGTCAGTGAGAGGGAATCAGAGAGGTGAGAAGCAGCCTGGGTGGGGTTTTCCCCCTCCCCGGTAGGGTTCCCCCACCACTGAAATTTTTACAATAAAGATATTTTCATAAAGACCATATATTTTTATAATGACCTACTGCTAAACCAAACCGGTCGGTATGAAGTCCTTTCCAACTCTTTTGGATCCTCATTTGGGTCTTTGAAGCTGTTAGTTTTTATGGGACACTGCCCATCTTTCTTGAATTGAGCAGCTGGTGAATTTGAAACAATGACTTTTTGGTTAAAAGCACAAACGATTCTTTGGAAAATGTAGACACCATTCTTCTTTCCTCAGAAGTTAGAAGACTACCTTTTCCTCTTATATATATTTTCTAATTACTTTCTAGATTGACTTTGATAATCATTCTTACTGTTATGAGCACCAGAAGCTTCATGGGAGAAAGATGGACAATCTCCTGCCTCTGAAACCCCTGGAGAGTCAGCTATGACTTGGTTCTGACTAGAGTGCAAAAAGTAGAATTCTAATAATTTTTAAAAGCACAAACCTAGATTCTTACAGCACCAGCCCACAGGTGGGCTTACAGAGGATGAGGAAGAAGACACAATTCTAGGTGCAGCCTCTTTGGCCTTTTCTGGCAGGCAAGCAGTAGCACTGCATTATTATTGTATGATCCCCTCCCTTTTATATGTATGAGTTATTTCTTTTCTTAATGAATAGCTTCATATTCCCCTTTCAGGTGGAACCCTCTAGGAACTTTTTTTTGGGTCATTTTTCAGCAGTTGAATTTAAATGATTTCATATTAATAGATTAACCTCTGGATAATTTTTTCCCCCAAACATAAAACCAGGTTACATTTATTGATTCCCCTCTGCATACCCTGCCATCCTGGGGGAAGGCTGATCTCCAGGAAGCCCCTACTGCACAAAATACAAATGGCAGCAGAAGGGGCAGTGCAGGAAAGCTTGTCTCTGGGTCCTTGAGTATTTTTTAGAAAATTAGAAGTCTGTTGTGTGGTCTGTAAGAGCCTATCTGGATCTGTCTATGGATCATAAACTATGGCTTACATTGAGAAGAATGGGAACTTTAGAACAATTAAATATGCTCATACAATACCTATACCTAGACTAAGAAGCTGTTGTCTAAACAGCAAAGGAACACTGCATGGTTTAAAATCAGGAGCCCCAGAGCCCCTAGTCAAAGCTGGTTCCTGTCTCATTCTTGTTGCTACCTGCCACCTTCTCCGTTTTCAATATGAGAGATGGCGCTATGTCCTTCACCACAGGTGGAGTCACCATCAAACCACCCATCGAACCACCCATCGAGCGAGTCAAGCTGCTGCTGCAGATGCAGCATGCCAGCAAACGAATCACTATAGAAAGCATTGTTGTAGAAAGCATTGTGCCGTCGAGTTGTAGACAACTCATAGCGACCCTATGAATGAATGGCCTGAGTACTGTTCATACATAGTTTCTGGAGGCAAGCCATTTCGGAAGTGGATGCCGCTCCTGCTTCCAGGCTTACGTCAGAAAGCTCCAGCTAACACTGTCCACCATGGGTACCCATTACCAAGATTGGCACATCACTGTCACAGTGTTCAGCGTCACAGCAACACGAGTTACCTCTGTACAGCAACAGACCAGTGCTATACCACCTAGAAGACTGTTTGACAGGAAAACAATTTGAACCCGGCCGAGGGCCCCAGATTATTGGCTCCATGGTTCATATCCCCAAGAAGGAGAGATTTCTGTCCTTCTGGTGCAGTAACCTTGCAAGTGTTATCCAATACTGCCCCATTCAGACTTTCAACATTGCCTTCAGACATAAATACAAGCAGATCTTCCTTGATAGAGTGGACAAAAGAACCCAGTTCTGGTGCTCCTTTGTTAGGAACCTGGCATTGGGTGCAGCTGCCAGCACCACATCCCTATGCTTTGTCTACCCTCTTGATTTTACCTGTACCCTCCTGGCAGCTGACCTGAGGAAAGCAGGAACTGAAAGGTTGTTCAAAGGCTTTGGTGTTTGCCTGGTTAAGATCTCCAAATATGACAGGATTAGGGACCTGTACCAGGGCTTTAACATGTCTTTGCAGGGTATTATCATCTACTGAGCTTCCAGATCCCAAGAACACATGCATCTTCCTTAGCTGGATGATTGCACAGTCCATCACATTTGACTTCCAACCCATTTGACATCATTCATCATCACATAATACAGTAAGGAGACCAAGGAACTGATATAATTTACACAGGCACACTGGACTGCTGTAGGAAGATTGCTTGAGATGAAGGAGGGAAAGCTTTTTTTCAAGGGTGCCTAGTCCACTGTGCTCAGAGACATGGGTGGTACATTTGTGCTTGTCTTATAGGATGAAATAAAGAAGTTCACATAAGTTATTTTCTAGTTTCCTCCTTTGAATGTGTATGTTGCATTATATGACTGTCTTCTATCAGTGGCATCTACTGACTGGTTGAAAATTAATATTCAACTGATCAGTTTTCTCTTAAAGTCATTTCCATGATGATGATGATGATGGGACTCAATTATATTTTTTATTTCAGTCGTTCCTGATAAATAAAAAATCTGAAGAAATAAAATTATCTGAAATGTTAAATAAACAAGTAAAATCAGGAAAAATGCACATCAGGGTTATATCCTTTCTCCATACTTATTCAATCTGTATACTGAGCAAATCATTCAAGAAGTTGGACTATATGAAGAAGAATGTGTACTCAGTAAGATTGTCTATCAAATAGGAAGGAGAAATTACATCATTCTCTGAAAGCAAGAACAAAGGAAATTAATGAAAACAAATTCATATTTGCAAGAAATACTGAAGGAAGTCTTTCACAGAGAAGCATAGAAAAGGGATAGACTAAAATAACCAGCAACACCACAAAAAAAGAACCCAACAAAATGCCACCAATAAACTCTTGGCTATTAATAATCACAGTGAATGTGAATTATTTAAATGCACCAGTTAAGAAAAAAATAGTAGTAGCATGAAGGGGAAAAAACCCAAAACCCCAAATGCATTAATAAGCTGTCTGCAGGAGAGACACATGAGAAACAAGGATAAAGACAGACTAAAAATCAAAGGGCAGGAAAAAATATACCAAGCAAATAGCAACAACAACAACAACAAAATGGGCATGGGAATGCCAACCTCTGATAAAATAGACTTCAGGGTAAAAACCAGCATAAGAGGCAAGAAGGTACTCTATTATAATGCTTAATGGGTCAATAGAACAAGAGGATATAACTATAATTTCTGTCGACACACCAGATGATAGACCTGCAAAATACGTAAGACAGACATTATTAATAGGCGAAGAAAGAAATGGATAACACTGCAATAGTAGTTAGGCAACTTCAGTATACACTGTTGTTGATATATGCTGTTGAGTCGACTATGACCCATAGCAACCCTATGTACAGTAACTCTGAACTCTCGGCTACCCTGAGCCAATCTCACCATCTCTGACACACTTGCCCCCAATGCCATAGTCACTATATCATTCCAAGGTCTTCCTCTCCTATGCTGTCCCTCTACCTTTCCAAGCATTATGTCCTTATCTAAGGATGGGTTCTTCCTGGAACCATGCCCAGAGTTTTGAGACAGAGCTTCAAAATCCTTGCCTCCAGAGAGCAGCCTGGACAAACCGTTTTGTCCTCTTGGGAGTCCATGGTATGTCCAGTACTGCTGTCTGGTACAACTCAAAGGCATCCTTTTTCTGTCATCTTTAGTCATTGTCCAGCATTCAGATGCAAGTAATTGTGAATACCATAGTCTTAATCAGGTGCACCTTAGACTGGCATCATTACTCTTTAGCACCCTAGAGATGTCCCTGACAGTGGCAGACTTTCCCAGAACAATTTAGCTTTTGATTTCCTGACTGCTGGTGCCAAAAATGTTGATTGTGGACCCAGGCAAAGTGAAATTGTTAACAGCCACAGTCTTTTCATTATCAACCATGATGCAGCCAATTGGTCTAGTGGTGAGAATCTTTGTTTTCTTGGTGTTGAAATGCAATCCATATTGAAGGCCTTCTGCAGTATGCTTCAATTCCTCCTCAATTTCAGTGAGCAGGGTTTTGTCATCTGCATAATGTAGGTTGATGATGAGTCTTCTTCCAATCCTGATTTCACAGTCTTCTTCAACACACTACTTTCAAAGATAGGACAGCTACCCCTGTATTTAAAAGTGATCTTGGGCCTTTTTTTGCTTTGGTGCTTCCATCCAAGCAAGATGGTTCATCAGCAGCTCTACTGGAGTCAACCCAGAAAATTCGGCCAGGGTTCCCGCTCCTGCCACGTGTGCTCAAACCAACACGGACTGATCCGGAAATATGGACTGAATATGTGCCACCAGTATGCCAAGGATATTGGCTTCATCAAGTTGGACTAAGTGATCTTTCTTGGATGGCCTACCCAAGACCTCTACATGGCAAGAAACAAGATCTACAGTTTGGCAAGCAACAAATGCTGGCGAGGTTGTGGAGAAACTGGAACCCTGATTCACTGTTGGTGGGAGTGTAAAATGGTGCAACCCCTGTGGAAAGCAGTATGGCGCTTTCTCAAAAAGTTGCAAATAGAGATACCATTTGACCCAGCAATTCCACTACTGGGAATATACCCTGAAGAGACCATAGCTGACATCCAAGCAGATATATGCACACCCATGTTTATTGCAGCTTTGTTCACAATAGCAAGGAGTTGGAAACAACCTAAGTGCCCATCAACAAACGAATGGCTAGAGAAGCTGTGGTATATTCGCACAATGGAATACTATGCTGCATTAAAAAACAAGGAACTCATGCAATATTATTCAAAATGGTTGACTCTGGAGAACATTATGCTGAGTGAAATATCCCAGTCACAAAAGGACAAATATTACATGATGCCACTGTTGTAGAATGGGACTGTCCTTGGGGTTGGGGAGAGACTGAGTAAGATGGGTTCAATAATGTATACTGCACTGAAACAGAGGAGGGAGAAAACT